ATTGCAGATGTGTGTGTGTGTGTGTGCAGCGATAGTATTCACTAGAAATTTTGTTACAAATAACAACATAATGTTGGTACTTTATTTAGGTTTAATCTGTTGATGATAGAAATTTTATTTATTTCTCGCTTTACTGAGCTAAAGACTTGCACTTTGATGGCTTATTTGCATTATGTATTATCTACATTGGATGAGAATTGACTTCTGTTTATAAAAAGAAAATGACGTGACATGCAAGTATTGATCTATACGCTGGCTTCTCAATTTTCAGGTTGAAGCAAAGAAAGCTGTTCCCAGGGATGATCAGCAGATGATAAATAGAACTTCTGGTAGTGTCCATGGCTCTCCTGGTCCTGGGCGCACAAAAAAGATTTTTGTTGGGGGTCTGCCTTCGAGCATCACTGAAAGTGAATTTAAGAAGTATTTTGATCAGTTTGGTACAATCACTGATGTTGTAGTAATGTATGATCACAATACCCAGAGGCCAAGAGGCTTTGGCTTCATCACTTACGATTCAGAAGATGCTGTGGACAGAGTTCTTTATAAAACATTCCATGAACTCAATGGAAAAATGGTTGAGGTCAAGAGGGCAGTTCCTAAAGAGCTTTCCCCTGGATCCAGCCGTAGCCCATTGTTAGGAACTAATTTTGGTTTTAATAGGGCCAGTGGTTACCTAAATAGTTACGCACAGAGTTATAACATGAGTCCAGTTGGAGGCTATGGGATGAGGATGGATAGTAGGTTTAATCCTCTTACAAGTGGTAGGAGTGGAATTACGCCCTTTGGCACCAGCAGTTATGGAATGGGACTGAACCTAGATGCAGGGCTGACTGCAGGATATGGTGGGACTTCGAATTATGGAAGCAATCTCGGATATGGTCGTGTGATTAGTCCTTTTTACAGTGGCAGCTCAAGCAGATATACCACTCCTATAGGCTATAATGCTGGTGGTGGGAGAAGCGATTCTCTAATGAATTCACCTTCTCGAAATGTCTGGGGAAATGGTGGCTTAAGTAATGCCAATAACCAAGTCAGTGCTGGTGCTAGCTTGGGATCTGGAAGTGGTGGTTTTGGCATTTCAATTAAAAATAATGGTGCAAATTGGGGTCAATCATTTCCAACGCAGGGTGGAGTGGCTGCTTCTGGGTATACCACTGGGATTAATGTTTATGAAGGTGGAGACAACAGTTTTGGGTTAGGAGGAACAGGGTATGGAAGAAATAGTAGTATAGGTGTAAATTCATCTTCTACGTTTTCTTCATCAGCTGGTGGTTATGAGGGATCCTATGGGGATTTATACCACAATAGTTCAGTTTATAGTGACTCAGCTTGGCGGTCTTCTGCTTCTGATCCAGATAGTTCTGGTTCTTTTGGTTATGGACTTGTTGGTATAGCCTCAGAGGACCCAGTAAAGACTTCAGAGGGTTATATTGGAAGCTACAATGTTTCGAGCAGGCAACCTAATAGAGGTAAGACTTTTGGCTACATCAAGTGATCCTGTCTCAGAGAAATCTTGGTTATAGTTTATTGATATAATTTTTGTTTGTATCTAGATGTGACATTAAGGACATGATTTGGAAGCGACACGCCACCCCAAACACATACTAAGTGTTTGTATATCAGAAAATGAATTGTTTGAAAAGAAGTTACAAAGAGAATGTTTATTTACTGATTGGCAGTTACAATAGTCTTTCAAATTTGGATCACTGATTTTAATAGATTGTTAAGGACGCAAGAGCAGCTTCACTAATGTTTGTCCTTCGTCAATATCAATATAAAGCATAAAATCTAGGATAAGCTGCACTATTTACATGCTACGAGCAGTGACAACTCCCCTCAAGTTCATTGTAACTATTTTATTCTTCCACTATCTCTCCACACATTTTGTGGGACTCCATGCAGCTTTATTTTTTGTTTGTTTAATATGTTTTCACATATTTCAAGAAGGTGTCTTTAGTAGAAAGATAAGCATCACTCCCATGCATCTTGTGAGGGAAAATATGTCTAGGTATACCCATTACTCTAGGCTTCTCATCTTTATTTCCCCCATGGATGTCAATCCCACAAACGGCAAGAATTTTTAAATAATGCGCTTATTTTCTTTGATTGTTTGAGGTGGATTATTACATAGGTTTTTAAAGAGTTTACTGCACATTGTGCGGAGAAGGAAGGTGGTGCTAGTTTTAATAGAAATATTAATAGAAATACAGCTAGCATCTTCCTCTACACATGCCTAGTGTTGCTGATTGTCTTCATCTTAAAGTATGATGACATTGGATGCTTCCTGCAAAAAAAAAAAAAAAAATCCATAAGAAATCGACATTAAGAGTTCACGTGAAAGATGTTTAAGATGAACTTAAAGATCATCTACTCTCATGTCAGAAGCCTATAACTGATTTTGTGTGAATGAAGCATTGAGTTAATATCAAATTTGATCATTCAAGTCATTTATGTGGTCATCCAGTGAAGAAAGACTATTTGCATAGCTTTATCTATCACATCATTATGAAATGGTTGAAATTTTGGCATTTGCTTTCCTAATATGTGTCAAATGTTTTGAGACGTTCTTTCGAATTAGTCTTATGAGTTGTATTCATTTTCTCTTCATGTCTTCCTACTTCCTCCAGGAATTGCTGCCTAGAGAAGATATATTAATTCAGTTTATCATGGAAACAGTAGATCAAGTGATACTGATCAGGAAAAAAGAGGTTTTGTGAATTCTTACATTTTCAGCTTATATGGATATCATCATAAATATAGCTAACGGTGTTCTTTCATTCGAAGTATACATGTTCAAAGAAAGCAGTTTACAAGGGATTTTATGTAATGTTTGGGATTTTTTCGGTTCTCTTATTGATTTTTCAAGACTTAGGTTTCCTTTCTTGGAATTTGATTGAGGTGTAAAATCAGATTGCGGGACATACTCATGGCGATTGGTTCGAATAGTGTAGTAGCGCATCTCCTGCGAGGCATATCAGCATTAGTATGTTTAGTGATAGAGTAATATTGTTAAACTTTCTTCTTTTTGCCAACTGTTATGGCTGGCAAAGGTGTTCTTTTCACCACGTTCTTCTGAGATATGTTTTTTTTCACCAAATTGTAAGTGAGGTTCAGTTTGATTTATCAAGTGTGAAACATGAGGGATTTGCAGTGTAAGTCCCCCCCAAATAATTAAGTTTGTAAACAGTTCTTATAATTCTTGTTTAGACAGATTGTCATACAAGCTTCACAGTTTCTTTAGTCATTGTCTGTCTGCTTCTGATTGATGAATCTGTAATTAGTCAGTATCTTCGTCTCCTGTCTGGCCTTTTTAATTGCTTGGCGCAGATAATACGCATGTAATTGGAATATGGACAAAAGTTGATTGATTCAAATAAGTGGGTATGTTCCAAAATTGAAATATTTTAGAGCCTATGCTTAGTCAGCACAGACTTTTATGTTATTGAGCTCACTGTTGAATCTTTAGTGCAACTAATATGCGTACAGCATATTATTGGAATATGGACAAAAGTTGATTGGTTCAAATAAGTGGGTGTCTTTCAAAATTGAAATGTTTTAGAGAGCCTGTGCTCTGGCTGTAGAGACTTTTATGGGAAACCATCCTTCTAATAACAAATTATATTTTGATGTTACTCCTAATTTCTGTGTGGTTGCATGTAGGTGAACTAGGATTTGCTTAACCTTCAATTTTGCACGGGGTCTAATTCAATTAATATTATATACTTGAGACGTAAGAATGAAATGAAAGAATCGAACGTGTAGCAATGCAACAAAAGAAAATGATTCAAACATAAAAAGTACTCATCTAGTACTAAACACCCATTTTGTAGTGTAAAAGTAATTCAAATATAGTCACTGGCCGTTTGGCCGAGTGGCGTGGGTGTGTGTGTTGTGTGCGTGTGTTGCGGGTTCGATCCCGCCCTGATGTAACCCAAAAAAAAGTAATTCAAATATAAAAAGTACTCTTCAACTTATTTGTAATGTTTTTTATGCTATAAAATGAGTCTTGTATTTAGAATTAGAGGGAGTATTATGATTTTCCTTATCATTCATAATATGATTAGGTCATATTATAAAAGTAAGTGTGATTTTGCTCCAATTAAGAAGCAGCTTTCTCAACATAACTAATAATTGAGCACACTGCATAACTGAAGATGTGGTGTTTATACATGAATTCACAAAAAGCCTTCATGTAAGTGGTCCCATTTGAAGTCTCTATGAAAATAAATATTGCTCTCTGGTTTCTGCTTGACTAAAAAAGTGTTTAGATGAAAACCAAATTATGATTTCAAAAGTGTTTTTGTGGTTTACAAAATAAATATGCAGAAGAGTTTGTTTCGTTTTGCAAAAAAGTGAGAAGCACTTTTGAGAGTTATCAAACACTCTCTAAATTGAAAATATTTCCATTCTCAGGGCTTCTTTACAGTTTGTTTTACTATTTTTGTTGATTTAAAGGGATTTATCAAAAGAGGCTTTCTTAACAAGTTTTAAAATCAAAAGTAACGTTTGGTAATCAACTCAAAGAAAAAGGCAGCTTTTTGGGTGAGAAAACCACCCACACATTATTACATTATTACATTCATAAAATAGTCCAATAAAATAATCGTATGTTCAAAATTACTTTCTTTTGGAATCAGTATTTTCGACGCTGTTTATGGAAGGAAAGCAGAAACTTCAAACTCTGTTGATATGCGGTCAAATTACCAACATGTCCATCCTTTTTTCCCCCCTCTTAGCAACTATCATATAAATAAATCCTCTATTTATTCTCAGCCTCTTTTCGTTTTCAAAAGCTGTCAAGATATTAAAGAGAATCAAACTTCTTTCATACATGGCAACAAAACAGTTATCATTTTTACCATTGCCGAAGTTAGTCCTCAAGTTAAGTCTGTCCATAAAATTAACCCTATTAGGGTACAGGTGTTATTAACACCGCTAGGTTAATAATAATGTGGCAAAATCAAGATATAGAAACATACATTTTATCTAAAATATCATCATTCAATAAACACATTTTCTATTATTTTTCTTGAAAAGTACAGAAAATTTTCGTTTACAAATGGAGATATTTGGAAAACTTAAATCCTTGCGTTGCGAGGTATATTGGTCATGCTCAACCACCACAAATTTCAAAACATAGCCCCCACACTTTACACTCATTTTTACTACAACTGACCATGACAAAATATCACAATTTTCCATCGCATCATTGTCACGTTCAACCCACTGTTCAATCATCTAGAAAGTATTCAATGAAACCAATCTAATCAGAGGTAATTCCAGCTTCAACAGAAAGTAAACCCACCTAAGTTCTTACAGAATCATTGACATGGTTCATAGGAAGTGAACACCGTAAAAAAAGGAGAAAAGAGAGAGAGAGAGAGAGAGAGGAAGAAGTAGCAGAGAAAAGGACAGAAAAAGAGGTCATGTCTTATTTACATGACGCCGAAGAAAATCATAAAACCTTAATTTATCACCGAGACGTGGGAGAAGTGCTCTTACTATGCTGTTTCAGAGACTCGAAGAAAGAGGAAAATGCTCCTTTCATTTCATCAGGAAGGGGAAGTTGGAGGGGAAGTGCCAAGGGAGAAGGACGACGTATAGGGTAGTGCACACTTGTTTTACTGGAGATGGGATGCGCAAGGGCTGGTTGTCGCTTGTTTAGCGCTTCAACAATGAAAGAAAATGCTCCAAAAGTGAGGCAGCTTTGCAGAAGTTCTTGCGGTGCACCTGGGATCCCAGAGAATAAATCATGATCGCAAAATAACTGGGAAAAATGCAACTTTCATCTGTATATAACTGTGCGTTATATCGATTTTCAGGGCAATCAGCGATTAAAAGCTGGTCATAGTCGACGAAGTTTTTCTATTTTGGGTCATTCGATGGGGTATCCCCACTTCCCATCAGAGACCCAAAAATTGGGAGATTGCCTCAATACTTTGCCAATAAGGTGTAATTTAACTAACACACACACACACACACACACACACACAAAGACACAGATGAAGAGTTAATTGCATGTGTGCACATGAGGATGAGGAGGGCTATTTAAAGCATCATTCAGAAAAAGGACAAAGAAAAACTTGATACCTGGAAAACTTAGAGCAAGACCAGTACAACATCCAGCTACCCCAGCATTAATGACTGGTGATGAAAAATTATTCAAATATCACAAAAATATTATTATAAACACAAGTAACAAACTAACAATTCTATGGTAAACAAGTTTATACCATCATCCTTTCCTCTGAGTCTTTTCAAGATGCAGATAACAAAACTGTGAACTCCGGAAAAAACTGCAAATGACTAATACATAGAGATAAAAGATTATGAGCTGGTTAAAATATGTGTGTGTGTGTGTGTGTGTCTCCAAATGTGAACTGACTAGACAAAGCTAACAGCAGGAAGGAAGGCCAAAAAAAAGGGGGGGGGGGAAGGGCTAAGGTCTCCAATGAACCTTGGCATAAGATCCTGCTTCTACAAAGGATCCTTTAAATCCTTTCTTCTTGAACAATCCAGCACCTGAGACATTACCAACAAAGACATCCTTGAGCAAGATCGTAGGAACTGAATGTATTGCTATACTCAAAAGTGAGATTTCTTCAAAATGGTCCTATATTCATCATCTCAGAGATTATTGAATTCTCAAGTCACCAGTCAGGAATTGATTGTGTATATTTAAAACTAAAATACTTGTCGAAAATCATCACACGCCTAACAAATTATGTGCCAACGTCCATCTGCATAAAAATTGCAGAACTGCTAACACTGAGTAAGCCTTTTACTAAGCGAGTGTATCCAGCCTTGACTATCAAATCACTGGGCGAAAATGGAATTACCATAACAAGTCATAAGAGCTTGCCCCTGAAAATTGAATGTGTTTTTTTGTTCCCAAGTATATTTTACAAAAGGATTACAAGATGTTCAGCCTAAACTATATATCATTCCTCAGAGAAAGTCTTTCACTAATCCAAAAAAAGATTGCTCACTTATTGAGACATTACTTTAAGTTCATTCACATCGTGACAAGACAATAAGGTAAAGACAATTTCCACAACCGAAAAGGCTACCTTTAACGACAAAAGTTATAGTTCATACGCTGTTCAATGCACAATGTTCTCTCTTAGGTTCATCTAATCATGAAAACATCTAATACTACCCAATTAAAGCAGAATCCTCAAAATCAAGCTATTTAAGTAATGTATGTAGGAGTAAGACGGTAAGTCGCAAGGAGAAGAGATAGAGAGAGAGAGAGAGAGATAACCATAGCCAAAGATGGAGCCCATCAAGGCACCGGAGGCAGAGTCGCCAGCGAACCGTAGAAGGCAGATAGAAGGAGAAGCAGGGAGTGCAGGAACTTGAGCTGTATGAATAACGCTTGCTTTAGTTGTACCCTCTTCGTCGGAACCGGTCCTCGAAGAATCCGCCGGCGCCATCGTTGCCCCCCTCTTCGGTACCGAATCGAAAATGGCGAGGCGGAAGCTGGAGGCACCGTCACTTTTGAGATCGAGGACTGAGCGCATTATATACTGACTTCGAAGATTTTTCCCGTTCCACCTTTAAAAAAAATAAAATAATTAAAGTTATCTAATTATGATTTAATAAATTAAAATTTTATATTTAAAATTAAAATAAACCTTTTATCACGTTTCTCTGTATTTTTATCTAATTTTATATTGAGAACCTGAGATAGTAGTAGTAATTACTAATTTCTTTTTTTGTGACAAATTACTAATTTCTTTTAAGTTCTGTACATTTGATTTCGAAGAATATCTCAGGCTTTAAATTGATAAAATATAGTAGTATATCACAGCATGCATTTGAATGATGTAACTTGAAATGATTGACATAAGAATTTACTTGAACAAAATATATTTACAATTTCATTTGTTTATTTATTCCTATTTCACAGTATTTTGATATTTTTTTTTTTGATCAGAACAGTATTTTGATATTTATTCTTTGTTTTTAAAATTACTCAAAACCTAATGTCACGATCCACCATATTTTTATCATCGGAGGGATCAATTGTTTCCTGAGACTAAAATTTTTCTACTTTGGCTTGGTTCCATGCGTGAGTCCATCATATAAAGGATGACAAAAACATTAGGAAATAAAAGAATTATAAATAATAATTTCATATGCAAGTTAAAATTTACATTTAAAATTTAAATACATTAAATAATTGAGAGTTAAATTTGCAATTCTTTAAATTGATATTTGCAACTCATTTTTAATAAGAAATTGTCTAGAACCTAACTACTATTAATTTGCTCTTTTAAGACTTAATTGTCTTTCTCTTTTAAACGTATGTTTAGAGGTTCAGCCAAAAAAAACCTTATGTTTAGAGGTAACTAGGAAACTACATTAATATATAAATTTTTTAAGGAATGACAGACCAGTAGGCTGGATAAAAAAGTATAGACACAATTTCATCCAACAACAGCTTGAAGTATTTTTCTTAGCATGCAATATGTTAATTTTTTTTTAAATTTATTTTAAAGTATTTTTAAGATGCACCCTCAAATAATTTATTTTTTTAAAGAGCAATTTTACCCTTATCGTATTTATTCAGGAGTTACTTTAACATTGCCATTAATTCCTCTGCGTTAAGCACAGTAAATTATTTTTTAAGTTGCTGGACTTAGAAAAATAGTTCATGTTGCCAGATGAATCACAATATAGTTTAAAATGACAGACATATCTGAAAAAACATTTTATGATAATGAATAAGTCACAAAATATTTTTAAAATACTAAACACACATATGAATCAATTGTAACTCTTCATTTTAAGATAAATAAACAGTCTTTGTTCTTCAAATAAAGTCAATTTTTAAAAATTATTTAAATATGTTTTAGAGTTACCAATATACAATATTATAAGTATTTTTCAGATAATTTTTGTCCTTGTTTTTTCTCACTAAAAATTTATTTAATTTTGAACATTAATAAATGATACCCTTTTTACGTATAAAAAATATCGTCATCCGCTGTGCCTCTTTAGTCCTCCAAATATTCTTGCACCAGAGGATTTGCAGTCTCTCTCTATTTATATGTTGTCTCCTTCTCATGTTAGCTGCCATTTCTCTGTCTGTTTTTTATTTTTCTTTTGATTTAATTAAGGGGTGGTGGTATCACCAACGAAGCGATAAAAAGCAAGGGGCAGGCTTTCGATAGAGGATGAGCACATCCTCTGTTTTTCTTCTCAGTTTCCCTCACATTTAAAAATTTTTCACAGATTTTTCTCATCCTGAAATGGTAAATTAATATCTGGGCTTGCTTCTTTTGTCATCGATCTCTTAACCTTTTGAGTTTCGTATTTGATCCATAAAAATTCATTTTTTAATCTGATTCCAGATAATCTGGTTCTTCTTTTGATTGATGCACGAAAGATCTGAAGCTCTCAGATCGACTTTGACAAAACCCACTTCGTTTCTGATCGAAGCTCCTACTGGGTTCTGTCTGAATTTAAAGTTAAGGTGTATCTTCTCAGGTTTTCTTCATCTGCATTTTTGATCGCTTTGTGTTGCTCAAGCAGGTGAATATTGAATTGTTTTGGCTAGACTCGACTTAATTATCTATCATCTGTAAAACTATTTAATTAAATTGTCTTCGTGTCTGGATTTTTTTGGCCATCATTGAGTTATTTAGACATCCTTATTACATATTGTTTACTTCTAGGTGAACCATGAGAATTTTGACCCGAAGTCCTTGCTCGTTTGAATTTGTACAAACATATAGAAATCACTATAATTAAATGATCATGCTTGGCAGGAGAACAGATGGAATCAGATCTTGGCAAGCTTTTCATTGGAGGAATTTCTTGGGACACTGATGAAGAACGACTTAAAGAATATTTTGGGAAATACGGAGAGGTGATAGAGGCCGTGATCATGAGAGATCGTACGACAGGTCGTGCTCGTGGTTTTGGTTTTGTAGTGTTTGCTGATCCTGCTATTGCAGAAAGAGTCATTATGGAAAAGCACATAATTGATGGCCGCACAGTGAGTCAGTTCATTGTGGATATGTGTGCGCGTGTGCGTGCGTGTGCTGTGATAGTATTCACGAGAGTTTTTCTTGCAAATGACAACATAATCTTTGTACTTAAGTTTTAATCTGTTGATGATAAAAACTGTACATATTTCTGGCTTTACCGAGCTAAAGACTTGCACTTTGATCGCTTCTTTGAAATATTATTATGTACATTGGATGAGAATTGACTTTTGTTCATAAAATGAAAATGAACGTGACCTGCAACTATTGATCTATATGCTAACTTCTTATTTTTCAGGTTGAAGCAAAGAAAGCTGTTCCCAGGGATGATCAGCAGATGATAAATAGAACTTCTGGTAGTGTCCATGGCTCTCCTGGTCCCGGGCGCACAAAAAAGATTTTTGTTGGGGGTCTGCCTTCGAGCATCACTGAAAGTGAATTTAAGAAGTATTTTGATCAGTTTGGTACAATCAATGATGTTGTAGTAATGTATGATCACAATACTCAGAGGCCAAGAGGCTTTGGCTTCATCACTTATGATTCAGAAGATGCTGTGGACAGAGTTCTTCATAAAACATTCCATGAACTCAATGGAAAAATGGTTGAGGTCAAGAGGGCTGTTCCGAAAGAGCTTTCCCCTGGATCCATCCGAAGCCCATTGTTAGGAACTAATTTTGGCTTCAATAGGTCCAGTAGCTACCTAAACAGTTACGCACAGAGCTATAACATGAGTCCAGTTGGAGGCTATGGGATGAGGATGGATGGTAGGTTCAGTCCTCTGACAAATAGTAGGAGTGGAATTTCTCCCTTTGGCAGCAGCAGTTACGGGATGGGACTGAATCTAGATGCAGGGCTGAGTGCAGGATATGGTGGGACCTCAAATTATGGAAGCAATCTCGGATATGGTCGGGTGATTAGTCCTTTTTACAGTGGCAGCTCAAGCAGATATACCACTCCTATAGGCTATAATGCTGGTAGTGGGAGAAGCGATTCTCTAATGAATTCACCTTCTCGAAATGTCTGGGGAAATGGTGGCCTAAGTAATGCCAATAACCAAGTCAATGCTGGTGCTAGCTTGGGATCTGGAAGTGGTGGTTTTGGCGTTCCAATTAAAAATAGTGGAACAAATTGGGGTCAATCCTTTCCAGTGCAGGGTGGAGTGCCTGCTTCGGGATATACCTCTGGGATTAATGTTTATGAAGGTGGAGACAACAGTTTTGGGGTAGGTGGTACTGGTTATGGAAGAAATGGGAGTGTAGGTGTAAATTCATCTTCTACATTTTCTGCTTCAGCCGGTGGTTATGAAGGATCCTATGGAGATTTATACCATAACGGTTCAGTTTACAATGACTCAACTTGGCGGTCTGCTGTTTCTGACCTTGATGGTTCTGGTTCATTTGATTATGGACTTGGTGGCATAGCCTCTGAGGATCCAGCAAAGACTTCAGAGGGTTATATTGGAAACTACAGTGTTTCAAGCAGACAACCTAACAGAGGTAAGACTTTTGGCTACATCAAGTGACCTTATAAAGAAATGCAGATTATAGTTTATTATTATAATTTTTGTCAGTGTATATGTATGTGAAATTAAGTCACTGTATATCAGAAAATGAGTTGTTTAAAAGGTAAACGGAAAATATGCTATTTAAATTTGGATCAGTGAATAAATTGACACGAGCAACTTTCGCTAATTTTTTATTTCAATCAATATCCAATATAATATCTATAGTTAGCCGCAATATTTACAAGTTATGAATAGTGCGACTTCTCTTGAGCTTCATTCTAGTGGACTCTATGCATCTTTATTTTATTTCTGCAATACTTTCTTCACGTGTTTCAAGAAGGTCTAACTAATAGCAAGATGAGTATCTCTCCTGTGAGGGAAAAGATATCTAGTTATACACTACTCTATGTTCCACGTCTATATTTCCCCCATGGATTTCAATGATGACAAAATGCTGACAAACCACAAGAACTCAATAACCATGCACTTATTTTCATTGATTGTTTGAAACAGATTATCGTATAGGTTCTTTTAAGAGTTTACTACAATTTAAATAGAAGGATAGCCTTCATGTTTCTGTCCATTTGTCTAGTGTTGCTGATTGTCTTCATTTTAAAGTATGATGAAATTGGAGATTTCTTGATAAAAAATAAAAACAAATTCACATTAAGAATTAGGCTGAAAGATGTTTAAGATGAACTTAAATGAGACCAACTAATCTCATGTCAGAAGTGTATAGCTGATTTTGTGTGAACGAAGCATCGATATTTTGATATCAAATTTGATCATTCAATTCATTTATGTGGCCATCAAATGAAGAGTGGCCATTTGCATAACTTTGCATATCATACCACTATGAAATGGTAGCCATTTTGGGATTTGCAATCCTAAAATAAGTCAAATGTTTCGAGATGTTCTTCTGAATGAATCTTATGAGATTTATTCATTTTCTTTTCTTGTCTTCCTACTTTATCCAGGAATTGCTGCCTAGAGGAGATATGTTAATTCGATTCATCATGGAAACAGTAGATCAAGGGAAACTGGTCAGGAAAAAGAGGTTTTGTGAATTCTTACATCTCAGTCGCTTAAGATATTTCAGCTTATATGGATATCATCACATATATAGCTAACGGTGTTCTTTCATTTGAAGTATACATGTTCAGAGAGAAAGCGGTTTAAAAGGGATTTTATGTAAGGTTTGGGAATTTTTTTGAGGTTCTCTTGTCATTTTTTCAAGACTTAGGCTTCCTTCCTGGGAATTTGATTGAGGTGTAAAATCAGATTGCGGGATATACTCTTGAAGATTGCTTCCAATAGTGTAGTAATGCATCTCCAGCGAGGCATATCAGCATTAGTATGTTTAGTGATAGAGCAATTGTTGTTAAACTTTCTTTTTCCTTTTCTTTTACCACTGTAATGGCTGCCAATGGTGTTGTTCTTGTTACCACGTTCTTCTGAGATATGTTTTTTTTCATCAAATTGTAAGTGAAGTTCAGTTTGATTCATCAAGTGTGAAACATGAGAGGGATTTGCAGTGTGAGATCCCCATCAAATAATTAAGCTTGTAAACAGTTTTATAATTCTTGTTTAGACGGATTCTCATACAAGTTTTACAACTTTTTATATTCATTGTTTGGCTGCCTCTGATTGCTGAATCTGTAATTTGTCATTCTCTTCCACTCCTGTTTGGCCTTTTCAACTGCTTAGTGCAGTTAATACGCATATGATTGGAAATTGGAATATGGACAAAAGTTGATTGGTCCAAATAAGTGGGTTTGTTTCAAAATTGAAATATTTTAGAGCCTATGCTCAGTCAGCATAGACTTTTATGTTATTTAGCTTACTGTTTAGTGCAAATAATATGCATATTATCGGAATATGGACAAAAGTTGAATGGTTCAAACAAGTGGGTATGTTTCAAAACTGGAAGTTTGCAAGAGTTTATGCATTGGCAGTTGAGACTTTTGTGTTATTTAGCTTTCTGTTTGTTCCTTTTTGGGACACTATCCTATATAAGTAATAACAAATTAGATTATGATCTTACATTGATTTTTTTTTTTAAGCTTCTAATGGAAATATAGAATTGTATACCTTTCACTATCTCTAAATTTTAGAGGATTCTTTTTTATTTTTGTTAAGAAAAATCTGGTCGAAAGTCACATTAGGCTTGACTTATTCAAATTGCATTAAGTAGACTGCATAAGTTGAACTCTGGCATTTATATTATTGAATAATCCGGATTCAAGCCATCCAGAAAAAGTTTATCAGCATAATTTGTAATTAAACAAACCGCATAGCACTTAAAAAAAAAAAAACTGGTTTTCCGCCTGATTAATTTGAAAGTATGTTTATTCTGATTGCATTTTTATTGTTTGTTTTCTTATCTTTGTTCATTTGAAGGGATTTATCAAAAGATGTTTTTAGAAGTTGCTTAACAAGTTTCAAAATAAAAAGTAATGTCTGGTAATCAACTTGAAGAAGAAAAAAAGCATCTTTTGAGGTGAGAAAAGGGGTCATGAACCTACGATAATGCAGTGCTTTTACATCTTGTCATCTTGTCTAATGCAAAAGATTAAAACGACAACGTCTCGAATTTGCTAACCAGACGGCAATGATTAGTTCATTAAACAAACAATCTATTTGTTTCTTAAGAGTTAAGAATATTGTTTGCTTAAGATCGATCAAATTTGTGTGTATCACAGCAAATTCAATTGTGAACGTGCAACCAGCACTTGAAAAAATATTTCAGTGTATCCAGTACCCTAAAGTATTTTGTAGAGCATTTAACATTATGAAGTAATTTTTAAGATGCGTTTCATACCATGAAATATTTTTTAGATATGTCCAGCAGGTTGCTGGACGTATCTAAAAAATACTTCGGAGTGTTAAATACACCATAAAATATTTTATGTACTAGATGCACCTAAAAAAATTTTGCATGTTGGATGCATTTTAATCCTAAATTATTTGACTTGAAATGATTGGCGTAATAGATTACTTTGAACAAGAGACTTCTACAATTTCATTAGATTATTTTTTCTATCGACATAATTATCTGGTTATCACCATCAACTTACCACCCTAGAGTCTAGCGCGCCTTTTTTTTTTGTCTGTTTTTTTTTTTTTTTGCCAAACCACCTGTGGAGCTTACTTGTATGTTGTTATGCACTTGTGAATAAAATTATTGTTTTTTTTTAAATCCCCTTTCAAATTGATTATCACATTTGGCCAAAAAAAAATTGATTGTCACATTTAAACATTAAAATAAGATTAAGGGGCGAGTATGATAAATTTTAAAAAATGAATTTTAGTTGCTTGTAACAAAAATACTGAAATGTCAATATAAAACATAAAAAATAAAAACTCTAACAAGTTATATTGTGAACATTGACCCAATGAGTGAAAATTTTTTAAAGGAGATGAAAAAAAATACGGGGGAGACAATCAACTCTAAAATATTATACCTTTTTTGCCTTTAATTGCTCTGCTCCTCCAGTGTATCAAACAGAACAATGTATAATTAATACGAAGTATAAGAGAATACGAAGAATGTACCAAGTTATTAGAAAACCAAAAAGGAAAACAATGAATCAATGAGAATACACAAATGGCTGCTGTAAGGGATGCTTTTGATCCAAGGAGGATCAGAAGCCAGAAGCAGATTAACAGGCATCACATCAACCAGCTAGTAATTCACAAGCAATAGATGATAACTAGTAATGCTCTTGATAGATTGCTCCAAATTCTGCTCTCCATGCTTGATCATCATCATCATCATCATACGCATTGTTACGTGCAACATCATATGAGTCCTCTCTATATAGTGGTTTCAGTGCAGCCTCTGGTAATTTGCTCTCTGCTAGGTAATGCTTCATGGTTGTCATCTCCATCTTCTGTTTCTTTTGGAGCTTCTCTATTTTCTTTTTCAACTTCTCGTTCTCTTCTTGTACATTTGCAAAATTCTCCTGTATAAAACAGAGATATATGAGATTCATATGAGATAAATCAGAATGTTTTGACGGCGTGGATTTTGAATCTTCTAGCACACATCAACAAAGGTATAATTAAAGCTCTACGAACGAAAACTGAGAGAAGAAAACGGAAGGAGATGATTGAATGACAGCTCTCCTTTCCGTGATTTCAATAATTGTCTTCCCCAAATTAGAATTACTTTAAATAATAATGAAAGGGATTTTTGAAGTTTAGCTGAAAATCTTTCATTATCCTTCCATCTTTTATTCATAATTCCCGAAGATTTTGAGCCAAAAGTTTTCAACAAAGGAGGACTCCATTTCAACGCACTGAAGCAATGGCTAACAACCCTATAGGATGGAATTTTACCTGGGTGACGGATACTGCATGCTCGGCTTCTCTAAGTCGAACGAGTAGTTCTCCAGCTGCATGCACAGCTTCTGCAGTGTCTCTAAGTTGAATCTTGAGGCTTCTGTTCTCCTTTTTCAAAAATTCTCTCTCCCTTTCTCTCTCTACCCTCATTGTAGAAAGCTCAGCTGCAAGAGATTTGGCAAATTTAGCATGGCTCTTTTTGCCTGTCTTTGCTGCCGCATGCTTCATTTTTGCTATTCCTTGCATAATAGCAGTGTGCTTTGCAGACACGTCATCATATCTTTCTTGTAGTTCAGCATAGTGTTCAATCATTCTCGAATGCCCTTCAACCGCTCTTTTCAATGCATCTTCCAACTCTTCCTTGCACTTCTTCTCTAACATCAATTCCATCTCCACCTTCTCTAAATGTTGACGGTTTGACTCAAGATCAACTCTCAGTTCATCAGTGAGACAAATCCATTCACTTTCCATTTCTGTCCATCTTTGTCTTTCTTTCTCTGGCTCTTCCCCACCATTAGCCTGAAAAAATCCACCACTTTTTTGCAGCTGTATGGATCTGGATATCAATGAAGATCTTAATTTATCTGTAGATTTTTTAATTGGTGCATCACCACCACACAAGTGCAACTTATTTCTTAGATTCTGAATTTCCTTCAGAAGTTCTTCCTTCTCACTATCGTCAAAACAGTTGTCTCTTCGAGGAAAATCTTTTTGTACTTCTTTAATTTCTGATTTTCCCTCTGAAATTTGTCGTAGAAGATTTTCTGAGATAGAGCCGCTCAGAAGCTGCAAATGACACCAAGAAACTGATAAGAAACCATAAAGATTGATCAACTCAATCATCAAAAGTTTACTTTTTTTAAGATTCCTTTTTTTTTTTTTTAAACTTCTAATAAGAACGCAGAGTAAGCGTATTATTAATCCTTTATCTTATGAAAGTTGTATCAGAGTCAAAGAATTGTCAAATAGATGAAATGCATAGAGTAAATAAATTACTGAAGCAGCTGACCTTTTCTTGATCTTTTAATGAGTTGTACTCTTCATCTTTGATCTTCCTGTCGGTGGCTTCATCATACACAATGATGGAGTTTATTTCCTTTTCACCTTTGTATTTCTCGACCTAGAGAAGTCAAATTGTCAATTACGGAAAAAATTCACACCGTATGCCCAATTCATGAGACACAAGATTCTTACCAACTGACTTAGCTGTTCAATTCTATCTCTTTGTTCCTTGCAAATGATTTCAAGCTCCTGCTCTCTCTTCATGGCTCTTGCCATTTCATTTTCTAAATGCTAGAAAAAGGAGAACAGAAATAAACAATTAGCAATAATCACTAAATATTATTAATGGAAACTTAAAGTCACAATGCAGAAATGCAGACTTTTGGAACCCTATCTTCCAAGCTTTCTTTTTTGCCACAAGATCCACAGAGGAAAATAGCAGGTACTACATCACTTGAAGGTTTCTCCTGTGTTTGCGTAGAAGAATCAACCTCTTCGATTTCTGAGCAGGGTTTCAAGGTTAAGTGCTCAAAGGAGAAGGAAGTTGAAGATTTGTTCAATGCAGAGTTCTGCTGATGATAGTCAATTATCTGTAAGCCTCTCTGAAGACTGGCTGCCAAGGACTCAGTGGGGCCCGGCAAAACCTTACCCGATTGCCTTAACCTGTCCTTACTATAGTTCAAACTCCCTGCTGCGTTATTCCAACCTCCAAGATAACTTGACGAAACAGCCATGCTTTTCCTTTGTGTATTTCTTAGTTTTGGAGACTCAGACAACGGAGGTTCCAAGGTCGGAGAGCCAACTGAAATGCTGTTTCTAGATGAAGATTTAATCGCCCTTAAACTGCACGATGGAGCCATTTCATCCTCATGACAAAGCTTGCTCACAGTTTTTTCTGAATTTACTTCCTCTCTTGCAATGTCATCGCCCTCAATCATGTCAGCATCAAAACTTTCATCAACGGAATAAACCTGGGAACCATCTTCATCGACAGGTATGTCTTTTGGATGATCAATTTCACATGAACCGTACAAATCATTAATGTGCTTGCTTAATTGCTTTATCTCAGCTTCATCCACATTTACCTCTTCATCAGTATCATCATCTATGTGAGGTAGGAGTAAAGAGCGGTTTAAGCTGACTCTCAACTTATTCAAGCTTTCCCGAACATTGCATCCTTGGAAGTATCCATTTTTACTCCCAGTTGAATTATGAGCATTAGTCTTTTCTCTAATAAGTTCTTCCTGCGTCCCAAAAGAAAATGGTTATACATTTTGAGAATTACATTAGCTTAATCCTTGAAAAAATATATATAGTAAATTTCCTAGAGATGACATATACCTTTAGCTGCCGGATTTGATCACTCAAACCATTAGCTTCATCCTCTTGTAATTCACTGACAACTGACTTGTTCCTAATGGATCTTATTCGTTGTCCCAATCTAAGAGTACATAGTGTTTCGCCATTACTCCTGCAATCAACAAGAACAATCTTTATCTTCAGAATGGTGGGGCCCACATGTTGTCATTGGTACTTGGCTCTGTACACAGAGAAAAATATGCTCTTTGATTTAAGTACAGTACTTGTTATCAGGGGAGATGGAACATATTACTGAGAGTTTGACATTTCCACCGAGTGATCCTTGTAGCAAGCGTGTTAAACAAGAACTCCTGTTAGTAATTTCTGCGGATTTGACAGACTGAGTTTCTTCAGTCAGAGCATCCACTAGGTCCCTACACCAACGAGATAATTAAAACAGTCATTACTGATATGATGTATTGATGTGTAGAGTCCTGATAAAATTTAATCATCATATTTACATATTCATATAGGCAAGATAAGAGTAGCGATCCACATTCAGCCAACGTAACCGAAAGTCATCTATGCAGACGCTCACAAACATTCCTAAGCCACCTTTACTAGTCAATTCTAAGTGGGTGTAATACATACATAAGGACTATACATCAACTAAATGTAATTATTCACAACACATAATAAATTATAAATACTCCTCCAGTCCTAAATATAAGATCCTTTTGTAGTGGAAATTCCACTACAAAAGGATCTTATATTTAGGACCGGAGAAGTATCATTTTAATTCTATATACATGAAAATGTTCTGCACCGCATCTTACCCAATGTCAAATGAGGACTTCTTCAAATTTTTGCTTGCCCTTAGACATGGTCTATCTCCATCTTCAATTTTATTTTCGTTCAATCCAGCAAGATCAATAAGGGTAATTCTTCTTGTTTTTGAGCTCCTCAAACCCTTTGATGAGATTCCCTGAAGCATTAGTTGACAATTATGACATTTGCTATGAAAATGATAGTAAAATGAGCAATACAAGCCCCCTTTTGTATACTTCTAAAAGATACAGCATACACAAAAGCAGCAATTCTATGTTGTCAGAATATAATCATGTGCTGATACCTCGCACCAAGACTCAATTGTAAAAGTGAAAATGATGTGTGATGTGGAGCTCTCAGAATTTAAGCTTGCTGCTTCAACTTTTCTGCTTGAAAGGCCCTGCAAAATATGTAGAAAACTTTACATTAGTGGACCAGATATGATAAATTACTGCACTCGTCAATGGAACAAAGAACTTTCAATTTTGTCACCACAAAGCAGCAGTAGTTACTCAAATGCTTCCATACCTTTATAAGAATTCGTGCCACATCCTCATAGCCAGTGACATATTCCTCTGTCAAATTCTCAATATACAAGACATTATTGGAATCTTCCTTCAGCTGCGATATTTTGGACCAAGCCCTCATTAAATTGAAAACAAGTGGCACAATATAATCACTTGATGGAAAAACTGTAGCATAAGGGATGGCGCAAACCTAACCTCAAGGTTTTGCTGGACTGGATCAAGCAAATCCCCAATTTTCTCATTCCATATCTGCTTAAAAACAACAAACTAATATGAATTAACGAGGTTTATGGTCATTTGAGCAAGAAAACCCACCCCCTCCCCTCCATAATTGGCCCAAAGTAATTAATAAATAAATAAATATGAATATGAAAACAAATTTACCTCAAGGAAAGAACAACGACATTGATGATTGAACTGTTTCCCTTCGTGTCGCTCCTACGAATGACAAAACAAGCTCATTGTCAAAACTCCAAACCCATGATAGAAAATTTACCCCTAACAATTAAACTCAAATCATACTTTCTCAAGTTCAGAAAATAACATTCTGAAGATCCGAGGAGCCATTCCCTGTTTACTATAACGCGAGGGTTCTTCAACCATGGCACTTAGGGGACCCCACATTGTACAAGTCTTTCCAGTTCCAGACTAGCAAAAAATAAAAGAAAGTATCTCAGATAATCATCGTTGGTGTTAATAACCATTTACTACAAATTCAAATACATTATATAAAGCTTTGGATACCTGTCCATATGACAGGAGCGAAGTGTTGTAACCAGCTAAAGAATTTTTAACTAATGGGACTCCAACTGAGTGAAAAATATCTTCCTGTACAAACCAAAGCTTATCATTATTTTCCACCCTTAGGTGCAGAAAGCAAGAATGGAAGACTATTGAAGCAAAGAAAGTGAACTACTAGCAACAAAATCTAGGTTGTAATAGTCTCTTCTAATGATCCCATCGGGCAATTTTATCATTATATTGATCCCTTCTGGATTGGAAGAGTAAATTCTTCGCATTAAAAAAATGGAAATTCGAAGTAAAAGGAAATAAAATAAAAGTCAAACATGCCCCAGTGAAGCGTTTTAAATAAGAGGTTGATGCTTTTAAAATTCCATTGAGAGAGACGAAAACAGATAAAGAATGAGAGGAGAGCTAAGCTGAGTTAAGCCCATTCAATCCTGCAACGAAAAATGCAAGAAAAAAACACCACAAAGCTACGGAAACTTCAATCCCAGATTACAGCAACAAAGAAAAACAAATTGATTATACCAGAGAGGGAGAGATAAGAGAGGGATAAAATGAAGAAGCCCTTCTCTCTTTGCTAAAACCAATTAAGCATAGAGTGGCCCAAAAAAAAGCTCGCTCCCACCATTTATATGAAGATAAACGACTAAGCATTAAAATGCATATCAAGATTCCAAAGTGAAATTTCTTTACCTGATTGGACTTTGAATCAAAAACCGAATCAAATGTGAATTGTTTGTCGGCAATACATAATGTATCAGGTGAAACCTTCTTAATGATCTCATCTCCTTCTCTTCCTTCGTTATTAGCAGGTCTGATTCGTACTACAACCTGTCACAAAACGCGATTTTCGTCAGCCAAACAGATTATATCTCAATTCAAATTCTTACCTCAACCATTAAAAATTACAGATTCATTGTGCAGCGCCAAGCAGAAAGAAAATATATTATCTACTTGCCTTAACTGGGGAGTCCTGAGAAGCATCCGATTCAACAACTTCGGGCTGGGAAGATGGGGCTTTGGACTGTACTTGCTTCGTTGTGGCAGCGGACGATTGGTCATTGCAAACTTGGATGTTTGGATCAGATGGTGGAGTATTTTCGCTATTTGGTTTGGGGATTTTGGGGTTTGAGATAGACTTCTGTTTGGAAGAGATTGATCTGGGAAGAAAGCTTTTGATGGAAGAGGACGAAATACTACCGAAGAAACCAGTCTCGGCACTTTCCGCCTTTCTGCTTTGCCTCATGTTTTTTGCCCAACAAGCAAACAAGCCAGCCAAGAATCAGAAGTAAGCAACTGTGCAGAGATAGAGAGAGAGGGGAATTTGGATTCAGACGTTGTAGAGGAAAGAGGAAGAAGAAAGGGCATTTCTTAACCCAGCAGCTGATTGAAGAGTGACAGGGGATGAGTGAGAGAGATGACCGTTAGAAAGCTGGCATATTACTAATCTTACTGAAATGACTAAATTGCGCCTAAATCCTAAATCAATGTAATTTTAGGAGCCTGTCAGAAGAACCCAAGAATCACGCTTTTTGCCAGATTGATCCTTCTTGTCTTTGCAAGAAAACGAAATATTGTATATTTGTATCAACTCGATTTAAATAAATGGATGAATAGCTCCTTATCATTTTTTTTTTTGGGAAAAAAAAGATGAATTATTTAGGGCTTAAGAGAAATGTTAACTGTTTTTTTGGCCAAAAGAAAATGTTAACTTTGATGCATAAAAAAATTAGTTGATATAATCTTTAGTTCCTCAAATTTGTCTTTATTTTGATTTTAGTTCTTCAAGTCCCAAATCATATATTTTGGTCTCTCAAAAAATAAAATAGTCTAAATTTTTATTAGATTATAAAGACTAATATTTTAAATAAAAAAAAACTTAAAGGACTAAAACTTATAATTTAAAACTTGATGAACCAAAACAAAAATGAGTGTAAATTTGAAGGACCAAAGTTTTTATTAACCCTAAAAAAATAGTTAACTTTGGATTTGAAACAAAAAAAAAAAACAAATTTTCTGCTCTAATTTTGTCCCAAAAAATTGCTGTTATAAGAAAAAAATAGTTCCGACGGTCGCCTTCCTATGTTTTAATAATTCAATTTTTATGAAAGTGCAACAAAATCATTCTATTCATTATATACATGGAATCGTTTGTGTCTTAAATTTACTTAGAAATTAAAAAATCTCTGTACAAGTGAAAATGTAATTCATTAGACATCATGTCACATATTCTTCAATATACAATTTACAAATAAAATGTAATTAACTATATATACACCTGGTAAAAAAAAAATTAACTATATATACACACACGCAAGTCGATATCAATTTAGTAAATATTTAGTGATAATGAAATAAATCTACTTATCATATTAAGGAGGAGTGGATAAGTCATTAATATTGTCTAAAAATAAAATAATTTTTTATTTGAACTGTATTTAAATAAAAAAATTGAAATTTGTATTATGCTTGAAAAAATTCAACAATAAACCTGTGTTATATTTTACAAAAAAAATAAATACTGGTTAGCATGATAAAAATTACTCCAACCTAAAACAGTATTCGCAGTTATTAAAATATAATGATCATGAAAAATATAAAGCTTATGTGTTGTGTCTTTTTCATATTCTCAAGCAAAAAGGCGAGAATCCCATCAGCATCAGCGGGTGAGCGGGGGACAAAATAGTCCACGCAATAAGCGAGATTCAAATAAAAGTAGCCGTTGGGGTCGGAAAGCTTACCTTGACGCTGGATCACCACTGTCTTTTCATATAGCATTAGGGACCACGATAATCAATATTTAAATCTTAATCTCAATCATAATTATTTAAGATCTACCTAACTAATTTGATGAGTAGATTAAATAAAATAATTAAATTAATTATTTGTTAAAAATTTGTATTAGTTTTCCTAAAATACCTTTTTGAGCTTCAAATATTGATCATTATGGTCCCTAATGATAATATGATATTAGTGTTAGTAGTTATGATTTGAATCTTATATTTAAAATTAAAGTCATCTTCCTACTAACTCTTATACTACCTCCTGTCATTAATATAAGACCATGTTTGGCTTTTATTGTGATTCTAAATATAAGACCATAATCCACTTTGTCTGTCATATTTATATATTTTTTTTTCTAATATAGTCCTTCTAATAATAGTAGTTTTAGCCAATACACTTGATTAGTAAGGATATTTTAGAAAAAAAATACTTATTTATTACAAATAACTAACTTAACTTCTTTCCTTAATCTTCTCAAATTAATTAACTAGTTCTTATAAATAGGACAAGAGGTAGCACTAAAAATCAAACATATTATTTTCATATTAATATTAGTGTTATTACTACGTCCAGTACTCAGTATAAGAGCTACTTAAGAGTTGAGCTTGAATCTAAATATAAAATCATAGTTCACTTTGTCTCTGGTATTTTTTACAAAATATCCTTATTAATTGCAAAGGTTCCTACCGAGGGATAATTTTAATGATCACATGCACATGATTGAAGAAGCTGATTTAGGAAGATCAATACACATTTATGACAAGTAATTAATTTAATTTTTTTAATATTTTAAAATTATTTAGTTTTTATATTAAAAAGAGGATGAGCTGGTAATTTAAACAAGTCCTAGTGATATTGCGCGCAGGGATAAATTTGTGGGCCTGAGCCCATTACACAAAAACAAAGATAGAAACGAATGAAAGAAAGCAGACCAGCCCATCAAAAATGGATTGGCTTTGCTGAGCTGTAAACCAAACGAGGCAGGCAGTGATTTTTCTAGTCCAACCTTTCAATTCATCCTTTTTTCAATATATTTTTAAAATTTTCACAAATTCAAGTTGGTTCTGTATTTTCATTAAAGTTAATAATGAAATTAACTCTAATTTTTTTGAAAATGAGCCATTACCCTTTTTCTACGTAATTGTTCTAGTTGTATAAAAATGATGAGTCATTGTAAAAATAAAATAAGGGCAAGCCCTAAACCAATGAGATTTGGACGCATGCCTTTATGACATATAGCTTAACTCTTTGTTATTATGACTTGATAGGTTTCTTGAGAACTTACGCCAAAACGCATATGATCAGCTGCAAATTTTTCGGTTTGACTTGTAATTCTTTTTCCTAATTTTATGGTTTAGGATTTGCATGGAGAACTTTCTATAAGTCCTCATGTGATAGTTATGAGTCAAACTTAGAAATTTATAATTTATTTGAAACCTATTATTTTTTTCCATTAATAATTAATTTCCTAGCCAAGCGACTAATATGTAATTTTCCTAATAACACATTTTTCAAATTGATATAGTCCTAGCACTATGTGTAGAAACCAGAAGAAATACAATTTATTTAGTTTTTTGTCATGAATATATAAAGCATGGGTCTAAAATACTCACAAAGGTATGTTAAAATTAGCCACATTTTGCAAAGAAGGAAGAACAAATTTTAATGAGGTTGATTTAAAAAATTAAACAAACAAAATTAAAGGTTTTTTTTTTTTTTTTAGCTTTTTACGTTACATTTTCTCCCTACTAAATTATTATTATAAACTCGCTTTTCCAATATTTTAAAACAAACTTATTAAAAAAATTTCTTCCTTCCATTTCTCTCACATCAAACATTGGCTTAGAAACACAAGAAGTGTTATAAATAATAAAATATGTCCAACTATGCTTCATTTGCTTTTATCTTCTTTTATGGTTTTTATTATGCTACTATATACCACTTCCGGTTATTAATATAAGAGCTTGTTTGACTTTTATTTTGATTATAAATATAAAACTACAGTCAACTTTGTTTCTCATATTTATCTATTTTTCTTAAAGTAATTCTTGTAATAATAATAGTTCTGGCTAATACACTTGATTAACAAGAATGTTTTGGGAAAGACAATACCTATTCATTGCAAATAACTAACTTAATTAATTTTCTTAATATATTAAAATTAATCAATTAGCTCTTATATTAAAAATCAGAGGTAGTATATATATAGTCATCAGCTTATATTTGAGCATTATGAGATTCAATTGAAAATAATTCTCTCCAGAGTGATACATGCATTCATATTGATTCCAACTGAAGGTTTTGTTTTGATTTAAAAAAAAAAACTCAAAGTTTTGTACTTAAATGGTGAAAACCCTTTTCAATATTATATATATATATATATATATATATATATTTGTCTATCTTCTTTCACAAGCTTCTGTATATCCATTAAAAGTTCTCACATTATTGATTGATTATTGACATAGTGTCACATGATGACACGATCGCCTTTAATTTGCATTATATAAAAGTTACTCTTGTTTAATTAAATTGTTTTCTTATATTACTACTCATTCTATTCTTAATATAAGAACTATTTAACTAGTTTGATTAGATTAAAAAAATTAGACAAATTAATTAATTATAAAAAATATGATATGTTTTTTTAAAATACCATAATCATTTTCGTTAATATTCTCATTTTCTCTTTTACTTGATTATAGTTGAGGGAGTATTTATAGGGATAATTTTAAAAAAATTAATAAATATGAGAAATAGATCTTATATAGAACTAAAATCAACTCAATAATTAGATCATATATTAAGAACGAAGTATTATATATTTTCAAAAACTACTATTTCTCATGTGTATCATACGATTGAAGACTTATAACCTAAAACTAACCAAACCATAACTAAAAATGCGGCATTAAATTATTATTTTAAAGATATAAAATCAACGATCAGTGATTCTAATAAATAATAATAACAAGAGTAGGGTGAGATTTTTCAAAAAGTGAAATACACATAATTCAAAGATATTGTCAGGGAGTCGTTGAAATAGCGGGAATATGGAGAGAGACACGTGGCCCCACAATAATTAACGTTTGATTTTATAATTCAGATTTGGTGTATTAATAATTGCCCAAGACATAGGGCATTGTATATGCTTTTGGACCCACCTTAGAAAAAAAAAAAAGTGGCGGCATTTTTCTAAATCAAAGTGCTCTTGTTGCTTTCTAAAGCTGGAGATTTCTTTGTTTTAAGATCCACTGAGTTCTCACACACTTTTTTGTTTAGGTAATTATCTGTGTCTTTATACATATTTTTTGTGCATAATTTTTTATTGTAAAATTTGTTCATAGTCTCAAGGTAGGAATGATTCTTTGGATGATTATACATGATTTTGGAAAAAAGAATATCATACTAAATATAATAATATGAATTAGATATATAAGGTTCACATACTAAAAATTTGTGAGTTGAGTTTGTATAATGAAAAGTTGGTTTGAGG